ACTAAAAGCTTTTGCACATCAAAGGAAACAGTTAACAAGGTGAAGAGACTACCTACAAAATTGGAGAAAATATTTGCAACCTATACATCTGACAAGGGGTTAATGTCAATAATATATAAGGAATTTAAACAACAGCAAAAAAAAAGCAAATAATGCAATTGAGAAATGGGCAACAGATCTTAACAGATATTTCTTAAAAGAAGATATACGAATAGCCAAAAGGCAGACAAAAAGCTTGCCAGTTAGTTCAGTTGGTTAGGGCACCACCTAGAAACACCAAGGTCAAGGGTTCAGGTCCCCATATCGGCCAGCCACAAAAAAAAAGACATATGAAAATATGCCCAACATCAGTAATTGCCAGGGAAGAGCAAATCAAAACAACACGGGATACCACCTCTCTCCAGTTAGAATGGCTGTTATCAAAAAGACAAAAGAAAACAAGTGTTGGCAAGGATGTAGGGAAAAGGAAACATGTGCACGCTGTTGGTGGGAGTGTGAACTAGTACAGCCATTATGGAACACAGTGCAGAGCTTCCTCAAAAAAATAAAAGTAGAACTGCCATACGATCCAGCAATCCCACTACTGGGTATACTCCCAAAGGAAATGAAATCAATATGTGGAAGAGCTGTCTGCACCCCCATGTTCATTGCAGCACTATTCACGATAGCCAAAGTATGGAATGAACCTCAGTGTCCAACAACAAATGAATGGATAAAAAAAAATTTCAAATGTGGTATATACACACAATGGAATATTATTTGACCATAAAAGAAAACAAAATCCTGTCATTGGTGGCAACATGAACAGACCTGGAAGACATTATGTAAAGTGAAGTAAGCCAGGCACAGAAAGTCAAATACCACACGATCTCACTCATATGTGGAATCTAAAGAGAAAAAGGTTGATATTAGAGAGACAGAGAGTAGAGCAGTGGTTACCAGAGACTGGGGAGAGGAGAAGAGAAGGGAAAACAGGGACAGGTTGGCCGACGGCTACAAAATGACAATTAGATAGGCGGAATAAGTTCTGGTGTTCTATTGCACGGTAGGGTGACTATGGTTAACAGTGAAGTTTAGTGCACTACATAACAGCTAGTATCAAAACATCAGATTGTACCCCACAAGTACGTACAATTACAATATGACAATTTTTTTTAAATCTGGGGAAAAAAGGGCACACTATATATACCCCAAGAAAAAATTTTCCCCCTGGGCCGGCCCGGTGGCGCACTGGATAGTGCGCCGCTTGGGAAGCGCGGCGGCGC